GTCCAACGAGCCCCTCACAGGGTCCATCGTGGGCGTCTCGGATAACAGCTCCAACAACGGGTGCCAGGTGACGGAAAGTGAGCTACCGTTTACTGTGCAGCTGTTTGACAACCGCGCGGAGTACGTGTTCCGTTACCTGCAGGTGTTCACCGCAGTCTGCGCATCCTTTGCGCACGGCGCGAGCGATGTGAGCAATGCGATGGGGCCGTTCGCCGCCATCTACGCCATCTATAGGACTCAGACGGTGGTGGCGGTGAGCGATACGCCAATATGGATCTTGTTCCTTGGCGGTGGTGGGCTTGTGCTTGGTCTTGCGACGTTCGGCGTGAGGATCATGAGGCTGCTTGGGGAGCGCATCACGACGATCACACCGAGCCGCGGTTTCTCTGCGGAGCTTTCGACCGCGCTTGTGGTGTCGTTTGCCTCCGGCTACGGCGTGCCGATCTCTTCGACGCACTGCATCACCGGCGCTGTGGTTGCGATCAGCATGGTTGACGTTGACTTCTTGAAGCTGCGCTGGATCATTATTGCGAAGCTGTACGCCGGATGGATTATGACCCTGGTCATTTGCGGTGCGTTCTCCGCGCTGTTCTTCGCACAGGGAATCTACTCCCCAAGCCGTGCAATGTAGGTCTGTGAGGGCCGTAGTTATTTACTTTATGTATTTTGAGGTTGTGTGTGGGTTGCTATGATTTTTATTTTAACGTTTTTTGTTTTGTTTTACTGGTAGGATTTTTTTCATTTATTTTTTGTTGTTTTGTCGCTTAGGTGGTTACCCTCTAACTCTCTACTTTCATTTTTTTTAATGTTTTTTTTTTTTGGTTCTAATCGTAAAATGTATTTATAGGAATAATTATGCTAATTTGTTTAAAATTTATGTGAGCTATATGTCATGTGTTAGTGCGTGCGTGCATATGGTTTACTGCAGGCGCTTGTGTGCAGGTCGAGGTCCTTGTTAGTGTTACAGCTGTGTGAGTTTTTGCCGTTTCGCGGGTGGGCTGCTTGAGGCACCGTTGATGGTCGTGTTTGGTGTCTTGGGGAGCTTTTTTTTTCATCGTTTTTAACGGTGATTCAGGAGGCTGCGACCAGGCGGGGGAACCTCTGCACTGAGGGCTTAGTTTGCGTGTAGGACCGAAAGTCATGCCAAACCGATTCTCATTTTTGTGTTTTCCCATGGGTGCTGCTGCCCTGTAAAACTGTGTCAATAATAATGAGGGGGGGACGGCATGTGTAAGGAAGGTAGTAGTGAAAAAACTTCTTTTGTTTTTGTTTAATGGTATTAATGAGTTTTATGTCAATGCCCACTTTTTTTTTTTTGTGAAATACTGCCACCCGCTGGATGTTGCACAACAGAAGTGTCGCGCGTGCACGTGGCTTGGGAGGTACTTGGCGGTATTTTCATATATATATATTTTTTAAAAATTCTTTTTTTTCATTTTTTTCATTTTTTTTTGTTTCCTTTTTTTTCTTTTTTGTTTTGTTGAGCTGTGTGCCTCTATTGCCGTGAGTTATTTGTGCAGCTGGAAGTAACTTGCGCCTACTAACCCTGGCCGCCCTCTACTCGATGCTTTCTCGTTGCTGTTTTGTCTTTGTAGTGTGATGTTGAAGTATGTACGTGTTGAAAAGGCGCATCCTAAGAAGTCGCGCGCTGTTGTAATGCCCCGCTGCGAACGAGGTAGTGGAACCCCGAAGGACCCTTTTGTGCTTCCTCTGCGAGAGAGTCCAAATAGGAGTAAATGCTACCACTGCGTTGAGGAGCACTGCTATTGCCACTGGATGATGCAAAGTCTGGTGGATTGCTATGCGTCGTTGCCAGTGACAAGGCAGGTGATGCCGCGTCGGAAGAGGGAGCTTTGTGCCAAGTCTATTCTTTCTCCCTTTGTGTCGCGTCTTGTGCGGATCGCGAAGATTACGTCGCAGGATACTTTTTATGATTTGGGGTGTGGGAACGGAAGTGTTCTTTTTCAGGTGGCTTTGATGACTGGTGCGCGTTGTGTTGGTGTGGAGATTAATGAGCACAACGCAACTGTTGCACGGGAGGCGTGGCGCCGTCTCGAGCCAGTTATTGAGACCCGACGTGGGAATGCGGTGAGGGTTGAAATTATTTGTGGCGATTTTTGCTCTCTGATGAAGGACGAAACGTTTTTTGGTTTGTCTCCGGTGGTTTGGGCAGCTAATCTCCTTTTGCCGAATTCAGTGAATCATTATTTGTCCGAGCGCTTTCGCTTGCTTCCGAAAGGAAGTCGTGTGCTTTGCCTTACGGACTTGTATCCACACAGCAGGTCTGTTGCTGCGTTACGCGACGCTGACGCATTTGAGAAGTTTGCCATGACAGACTTTAGGTGGCAGGCAAATAGTGTTGAGTGGTGTGATACGGAAGGCCCATTTTACATGTACACGAAACGCACGTGACGGCACACAACACGAAATTAAATTTGAGAGGAAATCACACACGACAAAATAGAATCAATCAAACAAACACAAGGTAAAAAAAAGAAATGCGTTTTTCAATGCGGTGTATTGGGGGGTTTCTCCCTTGTTTTAGATTCACGGTGTACATCAATGTTCTTGACTATTGAAGGGGTGTGGGTGTGGGTTAAACACCTCCGAGGCGAAGCTGTGCTGGGGTTATGTGTGGGTTGTCTTCATCCACTTTTTTTTTCATGCATTCCTCATTTTGCTTTTTTTTCGACTTTGATATCTTTTTCTGGCAGGCCAGCACAGATGCTGTTTGTTGCCTCGGAGGGTAAATCGCGACTTATTGACTTAGAGACGAAGGCTGTACAGAGGACATGCACGACGAGCCACATTGAAAGGCGAGGGTTGACGTACTGTGCGTCGTTACGGGCTGTTATTGCACACCAGTCACGAGGTTGCTCGTCTTTTTTTTCACCCAACACACAGCAGCCCTTGCAGAGAAGCTTTACGTTGGAGTCAATCGTGTCCTCCGCATGCACCGTTGACGGTGTATTTCTTATTGGTGGAACAGCAGGAGGAAACTTGTATGTGTGGAACACACTCACAGGGCAACTGCATCATCTTGTTAGGGCCCATACGCGTCGTATAACAGACATCACTATTTCCTCTGACCAGTCCTTACTCGTTACGGCCTCTGAGGATTCTGTGTGCAAGACCTGGACGTTAGCAGGTTTGGTAAGCCGGGGGGTGAGGACAATCACTCCATGCGCCCTCTTTAATGGGCACACCCTAGCGGTGAATACATGCTCTTTTATGGAAAGCGGATTTATGGTTGTGACGGGGTCGGCCGATCGCACCTGTCGCATATTTCATGCATTAACTGGTCGACAGCAACTCGTAATCACTCTGGATGATGCACCGACGGCAGTACGATCCTCGCCAGATGATGAGATGATTCTTATTGGCTCTGCGAATGGCTCACTCTTCTTTGTCAATTTATATGAAAATGCTTCACAGCAAAGTCTACCAATAAATTTGCATAGTCGCGAGGAACGCGTTACGGAGCGCAAAGTGTTTCAGGATGGACATGGTGGTGCCATTCTGTTTATTTGGTTCGACGCGGCACGTCCGGGATACGCCGTTGTGGGAAGTGAAAATGGGACTGTGTTGTGGTGGAACATTTCTACAAAAGCGGCGCACAGCGAGGCATTCCCCCGTTTCTCCGGAGGCGTGTTGAGTATTTGTTATGTGCCTAGGGAGAGCTTGACGACCCCGCCATGGCCTTGCGTCGGCCTTATGAAACATCCACTTGACCCGTCTTCTACGGACTACATTGTCCTCTCCGCACCGACTGAGCACGCTGCGGTAGAGAAGCCCTGCGTGACACCGCCACAACGCCGCTGCCGTGAATCGGACGCTAATGCTGAGGATGGTGGTGAGGAGACGAATGTGAAAATGGAGGAGACAAGTGACAGCCAGTGCCGTTTGAACGCGATCCGGCGCCGGAGAGAGAAGAATGATGAGTTGCAGACTCTTCGAGATCGACTAAAGGCAAAACTGCAGATGCTAACGGCTTCCCAAGGCAGTGCGAGATAAAAAAGGGGTTAAAACAATGGGAGCAGCAGTTTTTTTTTTTGGTTTTGAATGCGGGGGCGATTTGGTGTTGTCCTGAAAGTGTTGATTACATTTTATTTTTTAGTGTTTCATTTTATTTGTTTTTTGGTCGTCCCTCCTTTTCCCCTTTCAGTTCATTTTAGCACGACCCTTTTTTTTTCCTTTTCTTTCTTTTTACTGCTTACACTACATGTATACGTGTAGATGGCGATGAATACATGCTAAGTGGATCAACACGCTGCTTTCATGAGGAGCAAGAGCGTTCCATCCTTTTTTGTGAGCCGGCAGCTTACATGAACTCATTGCTTGTGCTCGTTGTGGACGGCTCAAATGAGGATAACGAGCACGATTTTTTTTTATTGCCCCAAACCGTGAGCTTGAGCCGTACGTGACGGGAGTTCCTCCATGCGAACACGAGGGGCTCAGCAGCGCATAATTTGACGCATGTCGCAGAGCGTTGTGCGAAGGCATTTATTATGCGGCAGTAATCTTGACGCGATGTTCACGTTTACTGGGGATGATGTACGCATTGAGTTAACTCCGTGCAGTTGTGACGGCAGTGCTGATATGCCGTTGCTTGGATTTGTGTAGTTGCTGCGTCCTGGGAGGTGTTCACTTCATGTGCGTATCAGGGTGGCGAGAAGTACGGAACAGGCGGCAATTTTCTTTTCTTATGTTTCAGGTGCACTTATGGACAGTGAGACGGCGGCATTATGCCTGGTGTCGTCTTCAGCGTGCCTATGCGGCAGCCAGAATTATGTCTGGACACGACTGCACGGGCCTAGTCTCTCCGGTGGGTCATCGTGTCTTGAACAGTTTAAAGGTGATGAAAACGTGTCACGGTCGTTTTTGGAGGATATCACTCTTAGAAAGAAAAGGGCTGCCTGCGACAGTGTCGAATTTCAGAGGCAGTTAGATGGCGCTCTTTTGTATGTTGAGACATAGTTGGGGATTATGTCCCGCTTTTACATCTGCATGCCTGGATCCGAGCTGCTGACTGTTGCGAGGGCCCTTCAAGTCGTCACCACAGCGGCTGACGCCGCGAGCGGCTTTCTCACCTTTTTGGAGGAGGAGAGGAATGACGCGTTGGTGGTCTTTGACAGTATTGTGACTGGTCCCCCACTAAGATTACTTAATGAGGAGAGAGAATGTCGCCTTTGGCCACGTTTGCAAGAGACTGAGGGAGGTGTACTCCACTCCTTTCAGCATTTTCTTCCACTACAACTTGGGCGGCTTTAGGCGGATGGTTTTGTAAATGAAGTTCGGTTGGACTTCGCGTCTCTTTGTGTTTTGTTATTTATGCGAGTAATGTAGTGTGCGCTTGAAATCTTGATGGAGGCGCTTACCACGCATGGGCGCCATGCGGACTTCACTGCGGATAACTGCATTTCACTTTTACGTGCTCTCATTACTACGGCAAATTTGGCCTTCCTTCCTGCACGCATTCTCTGTGTTCGTGACGTTAGTTTGGTTGTGATGGAAGTTTCTGCCATTGGTGACGCCTCAACAACGTTTGAGTCTGCTGCGACGCAAATGATGGGGGAATACCGTTTTTATGTCTCTTGGGTGGAACAGAGTTAGCGTAGTTGCTGTTGCTATTGGTATTAATAGTGAACGTCGTGTATGTTTTTTTTTTCTTTTTTTCTTTGCTCTCTGCATGAATCTTCAATTACTGTTTTGGTTTCCATTAATTTGCTTTTTACGTTGAGCGGACGCGTTTTGGTGTGCATTTCTGCATACCGTTGTTTATGTCTTTATTTTAATTGCTCCGCCTTCAACATGACGTGTTGCAATTCCTTTTTTATTATTCTCATTGCTTCTTCACGGCTTTTATTCTTTTTGGTGTTTTTCTTCCTTGAAGTTTGTGGTGCCTCCGTGCGACTCTTTGTGGCGCATCACCTCTGTGGGGCATGTCTTTGCAGCCTCGGGGTGATGATGATGCCGCGTACAACGCGCGAAAGCTGGCGCTGCTGCCAGCGCTAATCGGAATGAAGGGCCTTCTGAACCACCATATAGCCTCCTTTGACCACCTCATAAACGTGGAGCTGAAGCGAATTCTTCTGAATGAGTCCAACAGAGAGATCAAAAGCGGCATCGACCCGGACTTCTCCATTCGATACACAAATATCCGCGTTTGCCGACCGCGCGAAATTGTGGGGAAGGGACAGTTGCCAAAGCCTGTTTCTCCACATGAATGCCGGGTCCGTGATCTCACTTATCGTGGAGACATGATTGTGGATGTTGAGTATACTGGCCGTGATCGTGCCAAGCGACCGTGCATTGAGACCGATATTAAAATTGGAACAATTCCCATAATGTTGAAATCGAGTTCATGCAATCTTTTTGGCAAGAGCCGTGAGGAGCTGGTTGCGATGCGGGAGTGTCCACTTGACCCTGGTGGGTACTTCATTATCAAAGGAGTGGAAAAGGTGTGTCTGGTGCAGGAGCAACAAAGTAAGAATCGTGTCATTATTGAGGCGGATGACAATGGCAATATTGTGGCCCATGTGCAGAGCAAGACACACTACTCCATCTCCAAGTGTTCCGTGACGTTTAAAAAGGGGCGCATTGTTATGGTGCATCGCTCGTTTAAGGAAGATATTCCTATTGTGGTGATGCTGAAGGCTCTTGGCATGGAGAGTGACCAGCAGATTGCTCAGCATATTGGCACAACACCTGCATTTGAGAGTGTGTTGTTTGCCTGTTTTGAACAGGCGGATGCCCTGGGAGTTAAGACCCAGGATGATGCATTACACTTCATTGGGGAAAGGCGGAAGGAGACCTCATGGGAGGTGGATGACGCACAACAACGACACATCCAGAAATCAAAAGCGGACAACGCGGCGGAGTTTTTGGGGAATGTTCTTTTGTGCCACATTCGAGAGGGAGAAGTACAGCGTGACTGGAACTTTCGCCACAAGGCACTCTACGTTTGCTTCATGGTAAGACGCATGATTGAGGCAAGTGTGGACTCCTCTCTTCTAGACGAACGTGATTTTTACGGCAATAAACGGTTTGAGACAGCAGGAACATTGATGGGCCTCTTATTTGAGGACCTCTTGAAGCAATTTAATCGTGTAGTGAGAACCGCCGTGGATCAGCAACTTTCCAAGAAGGACACAACAAAGCCTTTTAATTTGAAGCAGCTTATGGAAAGTAAATTAGAGGTTATTCAGAGCGGGATGCGTGTGGCTTTGAGTAGTGGCCGATGGGAACTAAAACGATTTAATATGAGCCGTCAAGGCATCACACAAGTGCTTTCACGACTTTCTTATATTGCCTGCATTGGTATGATGACCCGTCTAGCCTCATCGTTTGAAAAGAGTCGAAAAATTAGTGGGCCACGCTCACTGCAACCAAGTCAGTGGGGGATGGTGTGCCCATGTGACACCCCCGAAGGAGAAAGCTGTGGTTTGGTGAAAAACTTTGCCATTTTAAGTCAAGTGACGTTGGATATGGATGACTCTTTTGTCAGGGCGGCAGCGCACAATTTGGGGGTGGAAGAAGTGGACTCCATCAGTTCAAGGGAATTTCTTAATTATTACACGGTGTTTCTAAATGGAACGCTGATTGGCATTCATCGTTACCCCAACCGTCTCTGCAGGGGGGTACGTTTACTGCGAAGATCAGGAAGATTACATCCTCATGTTTCTATTGCCATCAACGACCGTCAGAAGAGTGTGCAAATTGGATGTGATGGAGGAAGGATCGTCCGATTGTACATTGTGGTTAACAACGCAAAGCCTGCCGTTACTTCAGCGCACCTGGATCAGTTGTCTGCTGGAAAATGCTCCATCAATGACTTTTTGGCCGAGGGATTGGTGGAATTTATTGACGTCAATGAGGCCAATGATTGTCTTATCGCCGTCTATTTGAAAGACATTGAAACATACACCACACATTTGGAAGTTGAGCCACTTTCTCTCTTGGGAGTTGTTGCTGGCATTATTCCATTTCCACATCATAATCAATCAGCTCGAAATACGTTTCAATCAGCGATGGGTAAACAAGCGTTGGGCACAATTGCGTACAATCAGTACATTCGAACGGACACTGTTCTTATGATTGGTGCCTACCCTCAGCGACCCCTTTGTCGAACGAAAGCCATGAATCTTACCAACTATGAAAAGTTGGGGGCCGGTATAAATGCCATGGTGTGTGTGATGAGCTACAGTGGGTACGACATTGAGGATGCGCAGGTGTACAACCGCTGTTCACTGGATCGTGGCTATGGTCGCTGCATCGTTCTTCGAAAGCACGAAGTAGATTTGGAACGGCTCCCAAATGGGGAGTACGACATTGTACTCCCCCCTGATTCCAACACCGGCAAGTGCAAGGCTCTTAACAGCGATGGTATTGCCAGCAAAGGTGCTCTTGTTCGTCAATTTGACATCTTAGTGAATAAGTATACCCCAGTGGCGTCATCGGAACCCCGACCTAATCCTCTTGTTTACAAGTATCCACAACCTGCTGTTGTGGACCATGTTGTTATTTCCCCTCCTGGGGACTCCGAGCGCTCGATGGATGTGGAACAGAAAATTAAGGTTGTTACACGAGAAGTTCGTATTCCGGAGCCGGGCGATAAATTCTCCTCGCGACATGGACAGAAAGGAGTTGTGGGTCTTATTACCGATGGAGTTAACATGCCTTTTAACGAAAAGGGCATAAGTCCAGACATGATTATGAACCCCCATGGTTTTCCGAGTCGAATGACGGTTGGTAAACTTCTGGAGTTGGTTAGCTCAAAGGTAAGCGCTCTGACGGGTAACTCTGGCGATGGCACGGCATTTGGCGGCGACAACGCGGAGGATTTGGGTGCGCAACTGTTAAAGAACGGATTTAACTATCATGGGAAAGATGTGTTTTACTCCGGTATTACAGGGGAGATTATGCAGGCATATGTGTTTTTTGGCCCCATTTACTACCAACGTCTTAAACACATGGTTACAGATAAAATGCACGCTCGTGCCACTGGACCTCGTTCACTGTTAACCAGGCAGCCAACAGAGGGCAGATCTCGCAGTGGTGGTCTTCGTGTTGGTGAAATGGAAAGAGATTGTATGGTTGGTTATGGGGCTTCAAATCTTTTGAACGAAAGACTTCTCCTTAGCTCGGACCTTTTTACTGTGGATACATGCCGCTCTTGCGGCTTTTTGGGCTACTGTGGTTATTGTCCTTATTGTAATACAAGAAACACAGTCTCACACGTGAACGTGCCCTACGCGTTTAAGCTACTTCTACAGGAGCTTCAAGGGATGGGTATAAGCACACGGCTTTCATTAGATTTTATTGGACGACAATAACGAATCGTGTAACTACCTAATTTATCTATCTATGCAGGCTCATGTGTAAGTGTTCCTTCTTTAGGCGATTCTTCACTTTAACACGGTACGAGAAATATGCTTTCTTTGAACTTGTTTTTGTCTTTTTGTCGTTTTTCTTCCTCTTGCCACCTTTTTTTTCTTTCTCTCTCTCTCTCTCTGTGTGTGTGTGTGGGCGTTTATTTATGCTTTATTTTTCTACGAGTTTTTACCCCTTTTGGTGTGCATAACTTTATTATACGTCAAGACAAATGAATGTAGATGAATAAGCGTCGTTCTCATCGATTGGGTCGACTGCTGCACCTGCCTAAAGATGATGACGCTTTTTTACGTTATCTTCGGCCTCTTGGTGTGGGATTTCATCCGTTTTTGCGGTCCCAACAATCTCCTACTGCGTCTCCATTCTTCTCGCTCACCACATCTGCAGACCTCGGACCCTTGTTTCCTTTGGCCATCATTCCAGACGTGGCTGTTTGGACGGTCGCTGCTTTGCACGATGACGATGTAGAAGGGTTGATGCCCACACAGGAGATGTGCCTCTCTCTTCTTCCTCCGGCAACTCCCAACTTCCTATGCGATGCCTTTTATCTGTCACTCTATTTTGCTCTCAATGCCTACCGACAGACATCAAGGTGGTCAGTATGGCAACAACAGCAAATGTCTTTAACCTCAATGAATTGCGATTATAGACACTGTGCAGTGGAATTTTTCAGGTTGCTCTCTCAACAAAGTCTAACCCCCCCACTGAACCTTTTCTTGTCGATGACTGAATACACCTTGACTCATTCGTGTCGATTATCAAGGGATGGTACGCAGGTGCAAAGGGATGGCCCCTTCTTTTCAGTCATACCTTTGGTTGATGCGACGCTTTCCACAGACGCCGAGGAGGTGAATCTCACCCTGGAAAGATGTAATGCGGAATGTGCTCACACGCTGCAAAAGTCATCTCATTTTCTCTTTACAAGGCAAAGTCAGCGGGGAGATTCCGAGAAGGCGGAGTTTTGGGTATTAAAAACGGCCAAGCACGTTAAAAAGGGAGACCACTTGGCACTGCAACATATGTTGTAAGCGTCCTAACTTCATTCCGCTTTTGAGGCTGGCGCGGATTCTCTTAAAGGCAGATGAACCCCCCCCCCCCCTTTCCCAATTAGCAGCTTTTTTTTTGTTTTTGAATACCAGCTGTGAATCGAGTGCTGCAATGACACTCATGGATGCATTTCATTGCCATCCGCGCTGAGGTGCTCGCGGTGGTTTGGTGACTATGCGGTCACCACTTAGACATCGGAAATAGCTTTCAACGAAACGAACCACAAACTAAGGGTAATTTCTTTTTTTTCAGCGGGTGAAATTACCCTGACAGAAGCGGTCAATGTGCAGTGCGATGGGACTAACACGGATCACTTTAAAACAACGACGAAAACAACACCCTCAAACGAAGGTAAAATAAAATGAAATGCCACCGTCAGTTGGAGGCGCTGACACTAGTGAAAGAAGACAGGGTTAAGCGCAAAAGTAGTCATGCATGTGGTGTTGCAATGTGTCTTCTTGTGTGTACTGATTCATGTCTAGTTGAAGCTATACCTTCTTTTTTCCTTTGAGTGTATCTTCACTTGTCCGGTTTGTACTTTTCACCGCGCGGGAGGGTTCTACTGAAGCGATAATAGGTCTCAACAAATCTGGAGAAACACTCATTTCATGAGGCCCTGCTTCCATCTTGAAGGGGTAAACAAAGGTTTTAACAGCTTTGACTCTTTTCGATACTGCGGTGTGTGGGGCACTCACTTGCTGACGCGGTGGTTCTCCTGCGCGCGCGCGCGTGCATGCCTCATGCCGTGTGGGTGACTTACTCTTGCTGTGGCTGTGTAGAGTAGTGTCTGTGTCTATTTTGTCCGTCTCTTTCATTCTCCCTTTTTATGAGTGGTTAGTAATCTGCTACAGCCCAAGCCAGCCATCACTACGAAGGAAAGCAAAATAATCAAGGAAGGAATGCCGGTGAGACGCGAGGGAAGGTTTCATGGCACTGAGGAGTTACAAAACTAATGTGCCACAAAGAGGAAGGCGTCCGGCGGGGCCAGAGGCTGATGGCGGCATTCAACACCACTCAGACGAGCGCTGGGGAGTGGAGGGAACAGAGTGCGCAGAGTAGGGAAAATGGCAGACGACCGTTGCCAGAGGGACCCTGCGGCTCTGTGTTGAACGCGAGGTGGAGCCGCTTCTTAGGGTTTCCTGAGGGCGAAGGGGCGGAAGTGGCAGTGCGGATGGAGGTGAAAGAGGCCGAAGGCCAATAATCGCAAGAAATGTGGAATTGCGAGCTGCGGCCCTCAATTTTTGAGGGCGATGACAGTAAAGCGTAATTCTGCTCACCACGTCCACGAGTGATTGTGCTCACCTCCGAGAAGGGGTGACTGCGTTCGCTGCAGGAGGGAACGGCTCTTACCGACTGCTGCATTACTGCTGAGGCGGGTCGGGTGTGGTTGAGCGTCAAATTGAATCTGCTCGACTTGTTCGACACTCGCGGGCCAACTTATTTTTTTTTTTTTTTTTTTAGGTGTAAACCTATTTTTCTGTCTTGGGACCGTATGGGATTGGGACGCCGGATGGGGCGGCAGGCTCTCACCTCCTCTGCCGGCTGCTGCACTGCGATGTCGCGGAACTCAATGTGGTTGTGTACTGG